ACCCAGGTGCCCCCTCTGTGACTTTGATTAAGTACCTTATGTAAATGGGATCACACAGTATTTGTCTTTTTGTGAGTGACTTTACTTAGCCTAATGTCCTCAGGATTCATCCGTGTTATAGCAGGTGTCAGAATTTCTTTCCTTTTTAAGGCTGAATAATATTCTATTATATGTATAGACCATATTTTGCTTATCCATTCATCTGTTAGTAGGTATTTGGCTTGCTTCTGTGTTTCAGCTATTATGATTATTGCTGTGAACGGGGTTGTATAAATACCACTTTGAGACCTTGCTTTCAGTTCTTTTAGATAAATACCCAGAAGTGGAATTGCTGAATCATATGGTAATTGTTTTCAATTTTTTGAGGAACCACCATACTGTTTTTCACAGAGGCTGCACCATTTTATATTCCCACCAGCAGTGCACAGGGTTCCAATTATTCCACATCGTTGCCAACGCTTGTTATCTTCTAATTTTTTGGTAGTAATCATCATAATGGGCATGAGGGGATGTCTCCCTGTAACTCTGATTTGCATTTCCCTAAAGATTCATGATGTTGAGCATCTCTTCATATGCGTATAGGCTATTGTGTGTCTTTCAAGAAATGTGTATTCAAGTCCTTTGCCCAGTTTTGAGTTGGATTTTTATTGTTGTTGAGTTTGCCAATTATCTTTTAATTTATGTACCCATCAGGCACTCACTGAGTACCTGCTGTGGGGAGGCACAAGCCCAGATGTTGGAGATACAGAGTTGAGTAAAACAGGCACCCCATGTGCTCTGGGGGAACCCAGAGCTGGTAATGGAAGTCAGGTCACTAGCAAGAATTCAGTCCTTTGCCTGATAGAGATCCTGGCTCTGTTACTTTATGGAAGACCTTCTACAAAGGACCTTTTGGAGCTCAGTGTTCTCATCTGTAAATGGGGAGATAATAGCCATTTCGTGTAGTAGTTGCTGTGCCAATTAAGTAAATTAATGTGTGTAAAACTCACTAAATGTTAGAACTCTTCTTTCCCTTCCATTTAGTCTTTTGTGTCTTCTTGCCTGCTCATTGTACAGAAGAGGGGAAAGACCCTCTTCTCCCAGCATGGAAAATTAAAACCTTTCTTCCTGGCCATGTTTTTGGAAGTTAATTTGAGTAGGAGTGCCTTGCCATTATTAAAGGGCACATTTTTAACGAACAGTTGTCACTGAAGAACTTGTAATTTATGAGGAGTTAAATATTCAGCATGGAAAAGCATCTCCTCATGTCAGAACTTGTGCCCTGCCAAGGTTCAGCCCCTTTTGTATATTTGTCAGTTTTATTTACCAGAGTTTAATTAAAGGTTTTTTTTTTGAAAGATTTTATTTTTAAGTAATCTCTGTACCCAACATGGGGCTCGAACCCACAGCCCCGAGATCGAGTCTCATGCTCTGCTGACTGAGCCAACCAGGTGCCCCACAAGTGGGGTTTTCCCCCCTAAGGTCTGATAGAATCTGCTGTGTGTCTCTGCGGAAGATTACCTAAGCATGGAAAAATAACCAACAACGAAGCTGGTGTTCAGATCAAAATGAAACCATTTCGTAATCCCTTCACAGCATCTAGGGTGGCTGTAAAGAAAAGCATCTTAGGGACTCGTGAAGAAAGTTAGTAGGATAGTATCTTCTCTTGAAATAGCCAGGTTTCGCTCAGTACTGTTAAAATAGAAATGCAGTTTTTTTCCATTGGATCTAAATACGTATAGCAAATATTAAACTTGCTCATTTGCAGAGTAAAAACGAGAGATTTTTATAAAGAGAAAAAAACCCAAGTAAGTAAGTGATTGTTTTGTGAGTTTGTGCATTTTCTTGTTCAGAGCAAACAGCTGGCATATGTTTGCTTTTTTTTTTTTTTTTTTTTTACTATGGGCAATGTCGGACTATTTAAGGGCAAGCAACAGTATTTATTATTCCTTTGGGAAAATTGGAAAGGGACACCAATTTTAACTTGCCCTGGGATTGACTCATCTCACTACTGTATATAACAGATCAGAAACTTTTATGCATCAGCACACTTGAGGATCAGGAGTCTTTCATCTGGAGATTGCAGTTTTATGTCCTAAACTGTTAAGTAACTGTGACCTTAACAAGTGATTTCACTTTTTAGAATCCATTTCCTCAGTGGTAAAATGAGGAAGTTGAACTAGATTGCTAAGGTCTCTTCTGATTCTAAAATTTTATGATGCTATATTAAGCACATTTGTTCCTTTTGACACATTAGTGTAATTGACTGCTCTTGACCTATTAAGTTCTTCTGGGAGATACCAACCAGGCCTAGTAACTTCTGTCCCTTTTAAGATTTGTCTCTAAGCTGGTGGTATTAGAGTTACAGAGTCACAGGAATTCTCTAACACTTGTGTAAATGAGAATAGCTCAAATTATTCAGCTTTCCATGGTCCCTTTTTAAAAAATTTTTTTTTGCAGATGGAAGAACTTTGGGAGGCTGCTTATTTTCTGTTTAAGTAGCAGAAATATAAAATTTCACTCAAACTGAGCTGTGTAAAGGCATTCATAATTGCAGGTGGCTGCATCATGGCACAGAGTTTCATCCTCTAGAAAAATCACCTAATGCTCCAGATCTCTTTGCTTGAGTTAGATTTCATACCCGTCCTTCTCCTTTTAAAAACTGCTATAGACTGTAAAGTTCTGGGTACAACTTGTATTCTGCCCTATGTCATTGAGTCTGGTTTTTTTTTTTTTTTTTAATGTTTGAGAGAGAGAGACGGAGTGTGAGCAGGGGAGGGTCAGAGAGAGAGGGAGAGACAGAATCTGAAACAGGATCCAGGCTCTGAGCTGTCAGCACAGACCCTGACATGGTGTCTGAACTCACAGACCATGAGATCATGACCTGAGCTGAAGTCGGATGCCCAGCCGACTGAGCCACCCAGGCACCCTGTCATACATTGAGTCTTAAAAATATATACTTTTAAAGCACAGAATAATTTTGAAATGGTCATATCTGTCTGTTGATACCTTGTTTGGACTTCAGCAGACATTCTGAACTGAGTCTTGAATCACTTAAAATTCTACTTCTGACTTTGATAGAGAGATGTGGCAAAACTTTCTACTTTAGTATCTTATTGTATGATACTCTCAAACCAACACTTGAGGTTGGTAGACTGATTTCATAAATGGCTTTGTAAGGTCTCTACCAGTTAGAGATTGGAAGTACAATTTCCTTATGGCACTGTTTGAATTAAGGCGTCAAGTAATCTTCTGACCCTTCCTAAAGGACCCTGTGTCCTTTAGTGTCTGAGTGTGCATTTCAAATTGAGCTTTTTAAACAGTGACTATGCTATTTACTTATCTTTTATCTTTTGTACTCTATCCTTGCTAGAGATAGGCACTTTGTATTTTTAATCTTGGTGCTAATTTTAGCGTGATTTTACTCTGGCTTATTTAAAAAGTTATGTATTGTATATTTTGTTTGGTCTAAGTCTTAGGCTCCTACTACTGTATATTAAACATTTTTTAGGGTGTCTGTGTGGCTCAGTCGGTTAAATGTCTGACTTCGGCTTAGGTCATGATCTCACAGTTCATGGGCTCGAGCCCCGCATCAGGCTGTGTGCTGACAGCTAGCTCAGAGCCTGGAGCCTGTTTCAGATTCTGTCTCCCTCTCTCTCCGACCCTCCCCTGCTCATGCTGTCTCTTTCTCAATTAAAAAAAACAAAAAAAACCACACCCCATTTCTTATACTGTATCTCAGTATTCCATGATACTCTATGTAGAACACCACTATTTTCAGACGCTCTGTCCTCCTGAGCACACGTGAGGCATCGCTCCACCCTTGTAGGCCTGTGCCTTGGAAAGACAGAGTCAGCTCTCAGGAAGATGAACTCTCTTTTTCTTCTTTCCACTTTGGAAAATTGTTCTCGTGTGTATTCATTTCTGACAGGCTGCATGGCCTTTTCTCTTGGCTGGTCTTTTCATTATTCCTGAGTCTTTTAACCCTCTGCGGGAGATGGCGGGGTAAAGAAACAGAGGGGTGGTTTGGCATTTTGCTGTCATCACAGGCACCAGCCTCCATAGACTTCCCTCTCATGTTAAATATGTTATCCTGTGGGGCGCCTGGGTGGCTTAGTCGCTTGAGTGTCTGACTTTCGCTTAGGTCATGATCTCGCGGTTCGTGGGTTCGAGCCCCACATCGGGCTCTGTGCTGACTGCCAGCTCAGAGCCTGGAGCCTGTTTCAGTCTGTGACTCCCTCTCTTTCTGACCCTCCCCTGCTCACGCTGTCTCTCTCTCTCTCTCTCTCCTAGAAATAAATAAAACATTTAAAAAAAAAATGTTATCCTGTTACCCGTTAAGACAACCAGCTAGTTGTTGCTGAAACCAAATGGCTCCAGAGTTCTGCTTGGTCTTCTCCCTAGTTTAGCTCACTTGTTACTGCCCTGATTTGAAGCAGTGGGTCTTCTGTGGCTTGTACCTTCAACTGTGTCTGGTGACGCCTGGCACATTTTCCCTGTGCTCGAGTGGCAGGCTTCTGGGAGGCCAGAACAAAAGATGACCTTCGGTGGCTTCATGTCACTCATCATCAGTTCATACCAACTGACCCTCCTGTGCTCACCTCATACTCTGCTCTGGAGGAGATGCTCTCTGTCCCCTGCCCAGTGTTCTATGTCTTCATTCAGAAGACTAACAAAGTCTCTCAAAAGTGAAAATGTGAGACAATACTTTTTCTTCCCTGGATCTTAAATCTTAAACTATAGCCACTAGACTGTTTAAAAACCAAAGACTGTTGGGGCGCCTGGGTGGCTTAGTCGGTTGAGCGTCTGACTTTCGCTTAGGTCATGATCTCGCGGTTCGTGGGTTCGAGCCCCGCATCGGGCTCTCTGCTGACTGCCGGCTCAGAGCCTGGAGCCTGTTTCAGTCTGTGACTCCCTCTCTCTCTGACCCTCCCCAGCTCGCGCTGTCTCTCTCTCTCTCTCCTAGAAATAAATAAAAAACATAAAAAAAAATTAAAAAAAAAAAAACAAAAAAAAAAAACCAAAGACTGTTTACCAAAGCTTAGGGGGAAAAAATATCAGGTTAGTAAGAAATGTGGACCTGACTCTGCAGGTGCACCCTTACCCCCTCTTACCATCCTGCGGTTTTGCCCTCTGGTCCCCGAGCCTCCCTTTCCGTATGTATGCTTCTACCACAGCCTTCCTCACCTCTGCCTTGATTTCCTGCTGTCCGTCTGGGAGGGCAGCAAGCACGGTGCTGCTTCAGTGGAAAAATGCCCTCATTCCCCAATTTGTGCTTGAAGTGCTGCTCTTGCCACATTGGCCCTAAACCTGCTGGTCAGTAACTCGCCGGTTCCTCGCGTGTATCTTGAGACACGCTTTTAAATTTTCATCTGTAACTCAGTTTCTGTACTTGGCTTTGAGTTTTGTGGGGGTTATTTTCAGACTAGTAGTGTTGAGCTATCAGTTATGCTAGCCAGTGCCTTGTGCTGTAAGTAGGTCATCTTTATACATTACATATCCCCTGTCAAACATATTTTCAAGAGCCTCTTACTGCAGATGCTTCCCCCTTTTTATCTTAATGATTAAATTATTCACAGTTTTATATTCAAGATTTTACATTTTTTCTTTTCTTCAGATATGTGTTGTGATGGAGTTAGGAAGGTGAACATTGCACATCCAGGGAGATTTGGGGCACCTGGCAACTTTATTATCCCTGCCAAGAGGAAGGCTACTTCATTTATATTTTGCCTTAAATATATATTCTAGACCTGTCCAGTCCAGTAACCACAAGCCACGTATGGCAGTTGAGTACTTGAAATGTGTAAGTCCAAGCTGAGATGTGCTATAAATATAAAATAAATTGATGGATTATTGACAATGGATTTCAGAGACCTAGTAGGAAAAAAAAAATAATGTGACACAGCCTATTAATAATTCTAACACTAATTACATTTTTGAAATGATATTTTGGATATATTTGGTTAAATAAAATTTCAGCTCTTTTTAATTTTCTAAATGTGGTTACTAGAAAATTTAAAACTATACATTTGTCTCACATTATATTTCTATCAGACAGGACTGTTTTAGAAAGTATAGTAGTGTCAACATAGGTAATGATCTAACTTGAGACTTACAACTCTGATATCCCAGTTGCTAGACGTAGTAATTGAACAGTTTGCCCATAGTGTCATTGGTCTACTTTTAAGAGAAGCCTTTGGGCTGGGAAACTCTCTATTGCTGTCGTCTTTGTCAAAGGTTGAGAGAAAGTGAGATAGAATTGCTTGGTGCTTTAGTTTGAAAATTGCAGTATTGCATCATTTTACGGGTTCTTGTTTGGATGTTGAGTCAGTTCAGAACTTTTTTGTACTCTTAGTGTGTACCAAATACTTTCTTAGGTCCTTTGGATGCAATGACAGATCTCATCCCAGACCATGAGGAACTTAGTCATCCATGCTATGAGAACAAGAGAGGAGTGTGATTCATTGTTCAGTAATAGAAGACCGCACAGTGGCCAGTATAGTGCAGAGAAGGAGGGGGTAGGGCAGGAACAACGGTCAGGAAGGACCCCACGAGGAGGTGATGCATCTGCTTTAATTCTTTTAGAGAACATCCTAGAAGCCCTTCCCCAGGGGAATGCACAGTGCGTTGCAAACACAGCCCATCCTTGGGGGGTGAGGCATGACTGTGTAGTTCCTACCCCAAGAGAGTAAGCTCAGGTCAGCCAGGAAAGGAGATGTGTTAAACAGGCCTCATGCAGGCCCTTATCCATGGGGTTTTGATGGTCCTCTGTGAAGTTGAAATACTTTCCTGTTTTACTCAAGAATTGAAGAAAATATGTAAATGCTCTTCACTTCTGTCTTTTCTAGTTTTTTTCTGTACATAGATATGAAGGTTAATGAAACTGAAGTGGGGGAAAATCGAATAACTTGCCTTTCTTTAGTGGAAATAGGAACAGTTTGGAAAGCTACCAGAGTGTTGTGTAAGTGTGTTCAGTGGCTAAAGCCGACCAGCTCAGGTTACACTGCATCTCCCCTGTTGGGGGTGGGGGACAGCAAGTGACACAGCATAAAACAGATGCTTACATAACCATGACTCCAGGGGACAGCACTAAGCTGTGAATGGACCTTCCAAACTCCAGAATATGATATTAGAACACAGCCTTTGAATTTTTCTCTGAAGCTTGACTTGAAAGTGAGCTTCAGAAACCTCTCTCAGACTAGACTTTCCATTACTGTCAAACTTCTTTCCCCTTCCCTTCTGTTAGTTGTGAACTTTGATCATTTTAGAATTAGAAGGGGAAAAAAAAAAAGAAATAGAAAGGATCTCGGAAGTCTCTGAGTGCAGCTCTCACCAGGTAAGTCATGTAACCTATGTGGTGCTGGATTTCCTCACGGTCCCAATCAGAGCGGAGCTGAAACCCAGGTCTCCAGATGCCACTCTCCCGTGGCACACAGCCGGCTTCCAGAGGCTCAGTGTCCAACTCCCTCTCCTGGCAGATTCCCTTCATTGCAGGTTCTTCAACTCTCCTTTGCCTCCCGACAGAATTTCTAGAGTTAGTAAATAAAGGAGGATTTTGTTTTGCTCATGGGGCGACGTGTGCCACGAGGTGACCGGGTGTGGCGTGGGATGTGATTTGGCAGGGGAGACGCGATGCCCTGCTGGAGGGTGCCAGGCGTGCTGAGCTTGTGGGGCGCCCATCTTACCAGGAGGCTTCTCTCTCTGCACATGGCAGAGCATCCACTGTGGCTTGCCTTTCGCTTTGGATCCTTGCCCTTTCACTCAGGGAGTTTGGATTTGAAATCCAAAACAGTCAAACCACAAAAGGATGGAGTTGGAAATGGATCTTACTTAGTCCGGTTATAACTGAGGATACTGAGGCCTGGAAAGGGGTTAATTGCTAGTGCAGGGTCATCCAGCTGGGACAGAATCCATGTGTTAGCTCTCCAGTCTAACTCTCTTTTCATACTTTCATACTTTTTTTTTTAAATTTTTTTTTTTAATGTTTTATTTATTTCTAGGAGAGAGAGAGAGAGACAGCGTGAGCAGGGGAGGGTCAGAGAGAGAGGGAGACACAGAATCCAAAGCAGGCTCCAGGCTCCAAGCTGTCAGCACAGAGCCCAACGCGGGGCCCGAACCCACTAACCGCGAGATCATGACCTAAGCGAAAGTCGGATGCTTAACTGACTAAGCCACCCAGGCGCCCCTTTACTTTCATACTTTTTAAAGTCATAACATTTTTATAGCAATAAATAAAAACAACAATAAAACAAAAGTGAGTAAACAAAGCCTTAAAAAATCAGAGAATTATGAAGAACATTATTTCATTTGAACATAATTTATACCATGCTTATTTTTGGGAATTGCTTATTTTGAGAAATCTCTTGTTTCTGTAAATTGCTTAAGCTTTTTTATGTTATGAGGGAGAAGGTGGAGTTTAGACATTACTAAAATACCTCCTATAATAAAAACTTTACATTATGGAGAATTTCAAATGTGCACAGAAGTAGAATACTGTTGTCACCTAACTGAACAAGTTGTCAACTCATCAGTTGTAGCTCATGTAAGTTTTAGCGTGCTGTAGTCAGACTTGTGTGTTTTTTACAGCAATTTTGCCCTTGCCAGTAAAATGTCTTTTTCCTTTTAAGAAAATATAGCACTTTTATTTATTATTCATAGAATTATGCTCTTTGTGGTGTGAAGTATTTCTATCTCAAGTGCTTATCCTAAAAAAATTTTTTAATGTTTATTTTTGAGAGACAGAAAGTGCATGCTCACTAATGGGGAAGGGTCAGAGAGAGAGGGAGAGAGAATCCGAAGCAGGCTTCGTGCTGTCAGCACAGAGCCCAGTGTGGGGCCCAAACCCACAAACCGTGAGATCATGACCTGAGCTGAAGTCAGTTGCTCAACCGACTGAGCCACCCAGGCTCCCCATCCTAAAAATTTCTTTGAGTTGACTTAGTCCAAAACAGAATTTTTATCTTTGTCACCACATTAAGAAGCTAGCTACTGTGACTTTAATTTTAGTGACTTCAGGTAGAAGTTTTAATGTTTATCTTTAAAGACTGTTTTTTTAAGTTTATACTTTTTTTTGAGAGAGAGAGAGTGAGAGAGAGCAGGGGAGTAGAGAGAGAGAGGGAGAAAGAGAGAGAGTATCCCAAGCAGGCTGTCTACACTGTCAGTGTGGAGCCCATTGTGGGGCTTGAACTCAGGAACCATGAGATCATGACCAGAGTTGAAACCAAGAGTCAGATGCCCAGCTGACTAAGCCACCTGGGTGCCCCAGTGTTTGTTAATTTTTGAGACAGAAAGAATGAATATGGGTGGGGGAGGGGCAGAGAGGGGGACAGAGGATCAGAAGCGGGCTCTGTTCTGACAGCAGAGAGCCTGATGAGATGCTCGAACTCACAAACCACAAGATCATGACCTGAACTGAAGTCAGATGCTCAACCAACTGAGCCACACAGGTGCTCCTAAACAGGTAGAAATTCGTTTTTAGTTACGGGATAGTCAGGAGTGGGTTTTTCCTGATGAGCCACTGTGTGTGCATATACACGTCCCATGATGGCCCCATGTGCTGTGTTTATGTTCCTGTGTGGAAGACAGTGCAGCATAGTGTTTTCTTTGTGGTTCAAGCCATTTTACTGTGGCTTTAAAAATCATTAGTGTTTTAGGGGCACCTGGGTGGCTCAGTCGGTTGAGTGTTCGGCTTCGGCTCAGGTCATGGTCTCACAGTCACGGGTTCGAGCCCTGCATCGGGCTCTGTGCTGACAGCTAGCTCAGAGCCTGGAGCCTGTTACTGATTCTGTGTCTCCTTCTCTCTCTGACCCTCCCCTGTTCACGCTGTCTCTTTCTCTCTCAGAAATAAATAAAACATTAAGAAAATATTTAAAAAAAATCATTGTTTTTTCTTTCTCAAGAAATTATATCTGTTCATCAAATTCTTTCCTTGAGAAACCCAAGGAAGACAGAAAAGATATAAAAACTACTGATAATCCCATCACCTGGAGATGATTATTAGTCCTTTGTTACATTTCCTTCCAATTCGAGTTTTTTTTTTTTTTTTTTTTTACGTTTGTTTATTTTGAGAGAGAGAGGGGGAGAGAGAATCCCAAGCAGGCTTAATGCTGTCAGTGCAGAGCCTGATGTGGGGCTCCATCTCATGAACCAGGAGATCATGACCTGAGCTGAAATTAAGAGTCTAACCCTTTACTGACTCAGCCACCCAGGTGCCCCCAATTCAAGAGTTTTTAACTGCTTAGAAATCACAATAAATTTTTACTAATTTTTTAATTAAAAAAAATTTTTAATGCTTATTTTTGAGAGAGTCAGACCACGAGTGGGGGAGGGGCAGAGAGAGAGAAAGAGAGAGAGAGGAAGGGAGACCCAGAATCTGAAGCAAAAGCAAACTCTAGGCTCTGAGGTGTCAGCACAGAGCCTGATGAGGGCTCAAAGTCATGAGCCTTGAGATCATGATCCAAGCCAAAGTCAGATGCTCTGCCAACTGAGTCATCCAGGCATCCCTAAATTTTTACTTTTTTTTTTTTTTAACGTTTTATTTATTTTGAGAGAGTCAGAGTGTGAGTGGGGGAGGGACAGAGAGACAAAGACACAGAATCTGAAGCAGGCTCCAGGTCTGAGCTGTCAGCACAGAGCCTGACGTGGGGCTGGAACACACAAATGGTGAGATCATGACCTGAGCTGAAGTTGGACAGTTAACCGACTGGGCCACCCAGGCGCCCTATTTTTACTAATTCTTATTCTGTGCTGACTTGTGAACTCTAAAACTCATAAGAGGGCAAATCTACAACAGTTACCAACAGCCTGGTGACTTTGCCTCTTCTTAGCAAAAAAAAATACACCATTGCAGGGCAGTGGTGAGGCTTTATTTATGCTTTTGGCATTTTCAAAATGAACTTCTGGTTTACACATCAGAATCTTCACTCCTCTTAGTAAATAGAGTAAATATTGGGGTTGGTGAAGTTAGAGTGTCAAGGCAGAGATAACATTTTAAGTTTATGATTTGTTTCCTACTCACTTTACAGAATTCTTAAAAAATTTTTTTTAATCTTTTATTTATTTCTGAGAGACACAGAGAGAGAGAGACAGCGTGAGCAGGGGAGGGTCAGAGAGAGGGAGATACAGAATCTAATTGAGGCTCCAGGCTCTGAGCTAGCTGTCAGCACAGAGCCTGACGTGGGGCTTGAACCCACAAACCGTGAGATCCTGACCTGAGCTGAAGTCGGACGCTTAACCGACTGAGCCACCCAGGCACCCCACTTTTCAGAATTCTTAACTGGTTAATTTTCAAGGAGAGAATACTAAGAAAAGATGTTTGAAAATGAACCAGAATGAAAACTTACCAGCTTGAAGTATATACAAATGTGTTTTTGATGGTGAGCCGAGAACTCAGGTGGACGTGCTTTTCTCTGCGCACCAGCACCGTTTATGCGGGTCAGCGGTACAGGAAGATGTTGCTCATCTGAGGTGGGAGAGCCCTCTGGGAGAAGGTGCATTTCTTGAGTCACGAGCTCTAGATTCAGAGATCTAGAACCTTCAGGGTTTTTTCTAAGGTCGTGAGGTTGCATCCTAGAGATAGACACATCAGAATTCCTCTTTGTGATATCATCATGACCTCACAGGCAGGGCCGCTCAAAATGTTTGTGCAACTTTTGGCAGGATATGAGCTCAGGCCTGGCCCGATTCTACAGACACCATGAGGTACCAGCTTCTCATATTGGTAGATTGTATTGACTTTCCTGCAACTTCCGTAGATTAAAAAAATAAAGACGTTAGTGGTAGGCCCTCTTTATTTTATGGAAGATTATATAATGGTAAAAAAAAAATCATTGTTTTAAAATATCCTCTGGCAGGACAGTTAAAAACAGAAAACTCAGTAGTGGTGCAGAAGTATTTTACTGTGTGAATGGGTATGTGTTTAATCAGTGGCTCTATTTGCTATGAATTTACTATTAATTTTTCTGTTTCCTGCAAATAAACCTGACATGTTTGTTGTTTGAAAGTCTATCTTCAGCATAAGGGCAAGTAACAATTTGAAATGATTAGACGTGGTTATCCGACTTGGTATAAATTAATTATGACCCAGAGGCTTGCTTAAATTCAGACACATCACAATAGAGAAGTTGTTATTATTTGTTTTTGAATTTATTGTTTTGCTCTTTTTACTCGTTTTAGTTGGAGTCGGAAAAGAAAGTGTTGGTTCGCACAAATGCCTAGAAATATAGTCTCTGATGGTTAACACATAGAATTTTCTCAAGGACTGTCCTCCTTTAAACAAAAACTTCAAAAATCTGGTGTTCCTATGTGCTGGGTGCAAGCGCTTGATAAATTAGCCCT